GAGAGAGAGAGAGAGAGAGAGAGAGAGAGAGAGAGAGAGAGAGAGAGAGAGAGAGAGAGAGAAAGACTGAATGGCAAAATTGAAATATGGATCAAATTGCGGCCGCGATCTATTTTGTAGTTGGAATGATTTTTTTTAATTTATTGAGCGTTTTTCTTGGAAAGATCACAACAAAATCTATGAGTACTCCAATTTTCAGGTTTTTTCACACATTCTTCTGAGCAGGGAAACTCAATGAATTACTTTTTTAGTTGGCCCAGGCATGGCTGAGTGGCAAAAATGAAAAATGTGCCAAATCGGCGCGGCGATTATTTCGCAGTGTAAATGATTTTTTGTAAATGTTCTATTATTATTTTTGGAAAGAACACGATCTCATCTATGGATTCTCGAAATGTCAGATTTTTATGCATGTTCGTCCGAGCACAGAAAATCGCCGAAGTTGTCTCTTGCAAAACGCCTATTGGGCCCTTTTGCAGTTCACATGCCCGCACTTCTTTTTGGGGTCCGCTTCTACCCAGGGACCAGTCCAACGCCCCCCACTTCTTTTTGGGGTCCACTTCCACCCGAGGACCGGTCCTTCCTTTTTCCAAAAGTCCCGGTTCTAGAAGAGCTAGCTGTAGGTAGTCCACAATTTTGCCAAGGACCGGTCCCCCAAATTTTTTTGCCCCCTAAGAACCCACTTTGCGTCCTGGTCGCCCACCGCCAAAAATGTGACACCTTGACACAAACGCGTAAGCACACTATACCTTACAGTCTCTCCACCAAGCCACCTAATATGGTGGTCAACTCCTTAAGAGACATGAATAACGTCACAGACGCTCCCTCCGTCATCAAACCTTCTACCTGTCTACTGTGACAAATTTTACAACCGAGCGTTCAGGTTGGGGCTACTTTACTAATCCTTAAATAGTCAATCCTCCATTTTCATTTTTCGTCCAACTACAGAGGTCATCTTGTCCTGTATACACCAGGTTTCATCAAACCATTGTATCCCTGATTGTCTGTCATCTGCCTTAGTCACCTTCCGACGCCAATCTGCCGATATTGACTGACGAATTCCTTGGAGTACTGAAGACCGAATCTGTTTATTGGACCACTCTTTTTCGTTGAAGACCTGGTCATTTCTGACTTGCCAAATTGTCGCACAAACCACAGCTGTTAGAACCTGAGCAACATATCCCAGCCCTTTGTTGATGGTCATTCCCTTTGGAACACCTCCAAGGAGGGTCCACCACTTAGACCATTCAAACTTATTATCCGCAATGTGGGCCCATTTGTCCATCCACCGCTTTCAAATTTTAGCCGAAGTTGGGCAATCCCACCAAAGGTGAACGGTGGATTCAAAAGTCCACCGGTATCTTTGACAAGTCATGTCCAACTTCATACCATGCTCGACAAGCCACACCACAGATGGAGTTGAGACCATAGTGAGAAGCCACAGAATTGAAGCGTGTCGCTGGTTCGGAATAAGCTTTAGCTGTTGTCAGCAACTTTCTATAGATGATGAGATGAGGATGGGGTTTACATTTAACAAGGCTTGCCATCTTATCCTTGCCACAACTTTAGGAGCCTTAGTAAGGGAAATAAGCGCATACCCAATCTTCTGTGTATAGTCCAACAAGCATACGCTACGGCCCGACTTTCCTGCAGCTCTCCATTCCCACTTCACTGGGTCCAACTTCAGTTCACTAACCGGTTTTCCTCTAAATAAAACTTTACTGGAGAGGGTTCCTTCAATGTTTAGATCTTCGATTACTCTGATCTGAGATAAAGGAGCCGACAAGGGAGGAAGTACAACTGTATCATCTTGGCACAAAGAAGAGTTATCAGAGATAGAGCAACTTTGGAAAATTCGTTTACCATCGACTTGGATTTGAATCAGCTTCCAAGCAGTTGTCGAGAGATCAGGTCTTTGGTGCCATACCACGTACCCGGTGGGTCTGTTGTGACTGATTGTAATAGTTCCTTCCATTTCTGCGGAATCCCTTCAATAATGAGGTTCCTTTTTGTTATAAGATCTCTCACTTGGCCCAATACTGAGTACAATTCATTCTCTGGTTTCCAACTTCCTAATAGATTATCCCACATGTCAATGACTCGTACAATTCTTTTTTCAATCCAGGTTCGTCCAAAGCTGCCTACTGCTGTATCGGCTCTGAGCCATTCCCCAGACAGTTGACGGATATGGGGATTCTCGAATAAAGGTTGATTTAGAACCTCTGCTTTCGTTTCAGGCCCAACCCACACATCTCGTCTC